TCCCTACAGTCTCCATAAATGAAAAGACAGAGAAGCTTAAGGCAGACGAGGCATCTAAATGTACTGATCTGTGATATCTGACTAGTCCTTCTGGAAAGAAAATCGGGTTTAATCCTTCCTAGGAACCAATTCTGATAGGTTAGTAGTGGCCGCCTAAAACAGCACTGTCCAATATGTTAGTTATTAGCTATCCACTGCTATTTTTCATTAAAATGAATTAATATTAAAAACGCAGTTTTTCAGTGACACTAACCACAGCCCAAGAGCTTAATTCACAGACCCTGAATATTTTTGTCATCACAGTAATTTATATTGAAAGCAACGACCTAGGACATTCTGTGTGGAGGGAGTATGAGGCTGTGTCTAGACAGCAGGGAAGAGCTCTGGAGTAACGCCTCCATCGCTTGTTAGCTTTGTAACCTTGAGCAAGCTACTCAGCCTCTCTGTACCTGTTTCAACACCCAAAAATGAAGTACTAATGAGTTTTTGGGGGTTAATGGAATACATGTCTATAAAGCACTTGGTTTGCTATTAAATTTATAATCCACCTACTTTTTTTTTTTTTTTTGAGAGGTGTTTTTCGCTATAGGGCCTGTGCGCGCACCAGACAGACAGAGAGAGAGAGAGAGACAGAAAGCGAGAAATCACCCCCCAGGGGGGATGATCACGCCGCAATCCCTTCTCCTCCATTCTCCTCTCGGGATCTTGGGCACGCACACACATGCACCCGACGTGAGTTTTAAGCCACCGGGTCTGGGACGCAAACCGTGGTTGACTACGTGGGAGTCCAGCGACATAGCCATTAAGCTAACTGCTGTTTCCCAATCCACCTATTCTTAAAACAATTTTCAGTAGCCACATGCATGTAACAGCTATTTCTTATAAATATGATTTACAATTTACTGCCTAATTAGTCAAAATTAAGTTCTGCTGGTGGAGCTGATAGGCGAGTTCTTTTTTTCCTTTAATTTTGTCAGAGAGCTCATGCACTCATCAGAGACAGAGATCTCCCCATGGGAGATCATCATACCGCAATCCCTTTTCCTCCATTTCTCCCTCCTGTCAAGATATTGTGTACTCACATGCACTGGGCATGTTTTTCAAGCCACTGGGTATGGGACTCGAATCCTCCAGTTGGGTGTGTGGGATCTAAGTGCCTTCACCACACCACTGGCTCACCTTAGAGGGATTCTTTTGAAATTGAGAGGTGGAGAGGGAAAACCTGAGAAGGAATGATGATACATCAGAGAAGGAATGATACACTGGATTGTCACAAAAGCCTTTTTATATAATCTTAGGGAAAAAATAAGATTACTAACTATTCGTCTTATGATTAAAAAGTACTCACTAAAAAATATAGTTCCCAAGTTGGGGGACTTACATGTTTATTAGTATCATTTCGGATGGCGTCTTGACTCTTTTTTTTTTCCCGTTAGTGCTTGACAACATGAAGAAAGCTCTCAAGTTGCTGAAGACCGAATTGTAGAGAAGAAAACAAAATCTGCAAGCTCTCCCTTCTGTGTTAGAACTTGAGACTCAAAACCAGGGATTTGAGAAGACTGAAGAATGCAGAAGCACTGGTGGATATACTGATTCAATTATGGTTTAATGTTACAGCAGCTGCTTTTTTTAAAATTAGGCTTCAAGTATTGTTTGTACATGTATAAAACAATGTTTATACACGTATAAAACAATGTTGTATACAACCACAGTGAGCCATGATTTTCTAAAAAATAAATCCTTTTTGGGTGTTGAAACTAAAGTGATTTTTCTTTCCAGCTTGGTCTTTCATGGTCAAGCCACTTGGTCCATGCACGGAATAGGACTATTGGACATACACAAGGAGGGGACAAGACAAAGCTTAGTGCAAACAATGGAGACTAAGGACCACCAAAGTTATCCTCTCACTGCACTACAGGTCCTCACTGGGTGACTAAAAGTGGGCATGAGGGACCTGCATGTGGTGTAATGGTTACATCACTGGACTCCCACATAGTTAACCATGGTTTGAGTCCCAGCCTCAGTGCCTTAAAACTCATACCAGACACATGTGTGTTCATGCCTAAAATTCCAAGTGGAGACTGGAGGAGAAGGGATTGCTGCATGGCCATCCCATTCGGTGGGGGAGGAAGAGGGTGATTTCTCTCTTTCTATCTCTCTGTCCCTATCTGTGTCTCTGGCAAGTACATGCACCCTATAGCAAAAATCTCTCTAAAAATAAAAGTGAGCATGAACATAAGCCAATAGAAATATCAAACAGTATGTGTTTTCTTTTTTTTAAAGAATTATTTTATTTAACTTTATTTATTCATTCATTTATTTTGTTTTTTAAATTTGACCAGAAAGGGACAGAGCGAGAAAGAGAGAGACGGAAAGTGAGAGAGCAAGCCTCCAGGTCCAGGACTTGAACTGTGGTCGGCCATGTGGGAGTCCAGTGTCCTTAACCACCATGCCACCTGCCAGCCCCAAACAGTATGTGTTTTCATGTGAAAGAAAATGGGCTTTCATTGAAAGACCCTAAGTAAATCAGGTCTCTATGCAGAGACAACTCTCCCCAATCTGACCAGAAATGCCGATGTACACACTTTAAAACTTAGTGATTAAGGGCCAGCAGGTGGCATGGTGGTTGAGGCACTGGACTCTCACATGGCTGACTGTGTTTCACATCTCAAACCTGGTGACTTGCTCTCTCTCTCTCTCTCTCTCTCGCTCTCGCTCTCACTCTCTCTGGTGAGCATATATGCTCTATAACAAATTAAAAATTAATAATGATTTAAATATATAAATAAATAATTCTTTAAAAAATATTTAGTGATTCAGGGCTCTCCCCAGCACAGTGGTTAGGTGTGGTATAGAGAAAGCCAGATCCCCCACATGATTAACCAGGATTCAAGTCTCAGCCCCAGTAACTGAAAGTATGCCACACACACTCATGCTTAGAATCCTGAAATGATGGAGAATTGAAGGAAAAAGTATTGTCATATGAGCAGGCTCTACTAGTACACACTCTTACACTCTCTCACACACAGACGCACACACACATTCACACGTGTGTGCCCTTTGGCAGTAAACAAACAATAATCAGTGATTCACCTTTAGTCAGCTTTTGCCCAATTGAATGCCCTCAGGAAACGCCTATGGCAGGTAGCTTTTTCCTTCAGAAGACTACCTTAATAGTGGAAAGGTCACCCAGAGAACATCTGCAGGTCTGGTCACACTTAAAGAAATCCCGAGAATTGACCTAGTAGTAGATTTAATCCCTGAAGGTTTTAGAATACTGGAGTGGTTGAATCAAGTTAAAATTGATCCCATCTTCCTCATCAACATGTGACTGACTGAGACAATAGTAAAGGGCAGTGATATGGCAATGAGGTAGAGATCAGAGGCCTCTGATGTTTGGAAAGTCTGTAAGAGGGTGATATATCAGGTTAGGAGAGAGCTTTTAGCAATTCTTAACTCTATCCCTTTCTGAAATTAAAAAAATAAAATAGAACTTTGTATTAATGTCTTTACTATATATTTAATCTAACATTCAGTGTTATATGTCATTTCTTTTTTTGGTGAGGAGGGCATTGCCATAGGGCATGTGTACTCACCAGAGACAAAAAGAGAGAGTGAGAGGGAAAGTGAGAAATCACCTCTCACCCCAGGAGACATGGCCATGCCACAATCCCTTCTCCATTCTCCTCTTGGGAGTTGGGCATGCATACACAAGCCTGAAGTGATTTTCAAGCCACCAAGTCTAGGACTCAAACTGTAGTTGGCCATGTGAGAAACCAGCACCTTAACAAGCACACCACCTGCTGGCCCCTGTAATTCCTTTATTATTCAGTTCTCACTGACCTGTTTGACTCCTTGAGGATCTATACAATGCTTTGCATAGTGCTAACTTATAGTTTATCTTAACTTTTTTGGTAGATTCTTTTCTGAGCAAATCCTTTGATATTATTTTTTCCTGGTTAGATAATATATTTTTAGTATTTCCTATAAGGCCAAGCCCATAACCTAGTGGTTAAGGGAGCTAGATCTCCCATCAACTTTGGTTTGAACCACAGCCCAGTGGTTTGAAAAACCCACCAAGTGCACCCACGTGTGCATGTCCAAATCCCAAAAGGATGAAGAAATGGAGAAGGGAGTGTAATGTGACCACACCCCTTGGGGGGTGTTTTCTCCCTCTACCTGTAACTCTCTGACAGTGCATGCTCTTTCTGGCTTATCAACAAACAATCTAGCCTATCCAAATATCTATAACTTTCTGTATCTCGGGGACTATAATCACTAGTATGTGCTGATCATATTGTTTATTACTAAAAATATTCATCAAAAATATTATGAGGGAATCAGCTCTCTTCTTATAAGCTGGTAACCTGAATGCGCTGAAAAAGGTAAAACATTCATTTAACAAGCTCTCTGAGGGCAATTGAGAGGAAAAGAAAGGTTTCATTTCCATAAACAAATATTTTGAATGACAAATTCTAAGTGACTTAAGTGTCCTCTATAGTACAGCCAAGTAAAGCTTATTTCTTCATGAGCTGATGTTAAATAAGATTGTTATATCCTTAAAATGTATTAGCTAAAATCAGGACCAACTCACAGTATAATGGTTAAGTCACTAGACTCTCACAGAGTCGACTACAGTTTGAGTCCCAGACCTGGTAACTTAAACTCACACCAGGCGCCTGTGTGTGAGTGCCCAAGATCCTGAGAAGAGAACAGAGGAAAAGGGATTGTGGCATGGCCATCCTCACTGGGGGTTAATTTCTCACTTTCTGTCTCTCTGTCTCTCCAATGAATGCATGCACCCTATAGCAAAAACCTCTCTTTAAAAAAAAAAAAATGTATTAGATAAAATGTTACTTTAACAAAACATATTAATATTTTTAAATCTAAATAAATCTGTAGGAAATCAAATGTCAAAGTTGCAAGTTCAATGAGTTCCCCTTAGAAAAGCGTTAAAGAAACACCAAGCGAGAGACATAAAAATGTTGATTGAATTGATCCTGTTTCTTCTACTTCTGAGAATTTAACCTAAGGAAAGGAGTTCTGTGAAGATGACGATGTCAACTTTTTCTTAAATTCAAACATAGCAACCTCCAAATATAGTCACATAGTATATGAACACAAAATGCATTATGATGCTGTCTATGAAAGAAGTAAACATCACAGGAAAACAGAAAAGCCACAGTGAAAAAGAACTTAGGAATTTTTATTATAGGGGGGAGGGAATTATCTCCTTCTGGAAGGTGCACTGAAAATCACTGACAAGAGGCAAATAAGAAAATGTGTACATGTTTATTTAACATTCATGAAGTGTGACTACCCAATATCCCAGTGAAGCTTAGATGCTTATATGTCCCCCTTCATAAGTAGAGAAATAGGAGGAAATGTAGGTCATTTTAGTAGGTACTGAATGAACTTTATGAGAAAAGAAAGGGCCAAATGTAAATACTTTTTTGGGGGAACTGAATGCTAAGAAAAGTAAAATCTGAGAGATGGATAGCTCATAACTAAATTTGTCCAAATGTGTTGCCATTCCTTAATCTTTCTCCATGTACTATTGGTTTAGTTCATTAAAATTCAAGAAAAGGTCCAAAAGTAACTTTTCTTTTTCATTGGGTCCAATCTACAGGTCAGTAAATGAGTATCAGAAAGCCTCTTCTAGCATTTGCCCATCTCCAAGGGCCTTTAATTTAAGATACTTGGCATATATGCACACGCACACAGTGTGAGTTTCAAGCCACCAGGTTCAGGATTCGAATTGTGGTTGGCCTCATAGGAGTCCAGAGACATAACCATGACATGATCTGCTAGTCCCAAGTTTTAGTCTTTTTCCTTTTACTTTTGTTTTTTGGGTTTCTTTACATTTTTATTTATGATTATTATTAATTTTTTTAGGTTTAATCACTGTCTATCATTAAGGCATACAAAGTGAGTTTTCCCAGTAGGAATACCCTTTATATTAGTCTATTCAAGTTTTAGTCTTAAAATCAATCCTCAGTGAATAATGGAATAATCTTGAGAGAAGCAAACAAAAAAGTTGCAGATCTTAGTTTTCTAGGTCTGAAAAAAGAGAGTTGATAGCTTCCTGTGTACCTACTAGGAAAGGTTGCTATTAAATAAGAGAATATCTGTGAAGTACTTTTTAACTCTTTGAAGGGAAACTTGTGCATACAAAGGTTAAAAATAAAACTGAAGATGGGAACATGAAAGCAATAGTTTAAAGCTCATTAGCAATGTCTATTTTTTACACTGAATCCCTTTATCCTCTTACATTCTTTCATTGTGTTTACATGAATTTCAAAGGAAATTGTATCTTGACCATGTCTCTGAATACAGAGAGGTAGAGTACCATGAGACTCAAGAGTATAACTTCAAACCAGTTGGATAAAAATGGAATGAGAACATAAATGGCACAGCTCTGTGGAAAACAAAATGGTGGTTTCTCAGAAAATTAAACATGGACGCCAGCAGATGGCAGGGTAGTTAAGGTGCTAGACTCCCACATGGCTGAGGTTTGAGTCCTGGACCTGGTGGCTTGCTTTCTCACTTTCGATTTCTCTTTCCTTCTCTCTCTCTCTCTCTCTCTCTCTCTCTCTTTCTCTCTCTCACTCATGAGCACACATACCCTATAGAAAAAAAAATTTAAAACAACAATAAGTAAAATAAAATTAGTAATTCTTTTTCAAAAATTAAACATAAAGGGACC